AACCCTACTGTTTAACACCCCTTACCCCAACCCTACTCTTAACACCCCTTACCCCAACCCTACTGTTTAAAACCCCTTACCCCAACCCTACTAAGCACTATATATATTTCTGATCCACTCCTCGTTAGGCTGGTACCATCACAGTATCCGATCTCAGCAGCTTTGGCATCAAGCATTTTGCCACCATTATCAACCCCACCCAGTCCTGTGCAGTGGCAGTGGGCGCCCTGCAGAATGTCATGGTACCAGACGAGGACGCAGAAGAGGGGTAAGAAATGACCAAAGCATCTTGGGATATGTTCAAGTTCTAGGAAGCTGCTCTAAGCATATGGTTGAAGGTTATGGCTGCTGCTGCTGGGAATAATGCGAAAGAAGAAGATTTGACGGTTTGCACTAAGACACCTCGAGCAAGCTCTCATCTCTTCCGTATGTTTGATCCACAGGTACAGAGCGACAACCACCATCAACGTCACCCTGAGCTGCGATCACAGGGTGGTGGATGGAGCAGTCGGGGCCCAGTGGCTGCAGAAATTCAAGACGTTTTTAGAAAAACCACACACGATGCTTCTCTGAGATAGCGGTATATTAAAATATAACAATTGGGATTTTAGACAGTATTTGAATAGAGTTTTCCATCAAGAATAAAAATATCATCATATCCTCCGGTGTGGAGTTGATTTATATGAAAAGAAGTGAGATTTAAAAAGAAATCTCAGGCTTATTGACATGATGTCTGAGCTGGCGAGGGTGTTGTGCACCTTTCCCACAGTCGCCATGAGAGGGCGCTTGCCCTTTTTTTTACACCAGTGACATTTGGAGCCTGGGTGTGAAAAGGGCATTGCATCTGCTCAAGCAAATTTTGTTCAGCTGCCAAACTGGAAATATTGTTTAGCAAATTTTGTGTCCCAAAAAGCTGAGAACCAGTCATGGCATCGTACATAGTATGGTATTTGGTTGGTAACCTGTTATTTTACCATAAGCAAGCATTTCCTGTGCTAAGCAGATTTTTCTGTTCCTGTTCCTCACTCCAAAATGTGACAATAAGTCTTAGATTGCAAAGATGGAATTGTGATTGTTTGTGAAATGCATGAAGTAATAATTTGTGTTTACTGATTATAGGATACATTTTTGAAAGGAAATATTTATTACTTTGATGGACTACAGTGGAGGCTGTAATTTTTCTGGTTTTTCTGGTAACAAGCTGCATTCAAACAGTACAAAATGTTGAATTTTTAAACAAATTTTGGCTTGACCCAACGTCTGACGTAGTGATTCTGTGATTGAGTAAAGCAATTTGTAATTTTGCACACTGCCGGATGCATTGTTTAAAAAACACTGAGTTTCATCAAGATTACTGTTTTTGAGTCAATTCCAAACTTGATTAAAAAATGAGGAACGTAATAATTCATTACTTGAATCTTCACAAGAATATGTGGATTAAATCAGGGCTTTCTTGCCTGCTCAACTTCACTGTTAAAAAAACCCCCAAAATCTGAAGGAGTCTCCAGTCTTTCCCATTCTGAGGAGCCAACTTCTGAATAAAGTTATTTGTGCCAAAAGGTCAAGGGTCATTTCCTGAAGCCACCATTCTTTGACCCCCATTAAATTTTGGCTACAAGGGAAGTCAGGAAACCCAGTCAGTTTTGCAATGTGGACAATTTTGTTACTTTGTACCGTTTGAGGGCAACTTACATTTTCGGGGCTCATATGAAGGACATCACTCTAACAGAAGAGAACTGGACAAATCACATTACTTTGACATTTGTTGTGCATTTTATTATTTTTCCCTTTTTTTTTACTGTTCATCGTAGGCATCTCCACAAGCTTATGCAAGATTTAATAATTTCATTTTTCCAATTTTTAACCTGATATTGGTTTGCACAATAGCTGTAGCAGACAGTGATTGTACATTAAACAGTGTTTCAACAAATCCAAGAAACAAATATGTTCTATCAGTGTTTGTCCAGCTGTGTTTGTTATCGACCTTTCACTTCCGCAGTTCTGAGCGGAAGTTTTAGCCGTGGAACACTTCAGCTGTTAATATTATAGCCTACTAGTTTATCGATGGCAATCTGGACTCTGGAAACAATGATTTTGCTCAGCATTAATACCCTTTTTCCATTTAATGATGGATCTATATGGGTAAAATGAAGTCAATTTTTTTTTAAAATTATGCAGAGGGTATTGAGTTACAGTGGCAGTTGGTGAGTTAACTCTATGTGGCGCAATGTCGCAGCAGCATTGAACACAAACGGTTTTACACAAAACCGCTGAAAGCATGTTATTCTGTTCGAAGCTGTGAAATTTTGTAATTAAGGATTTTTTGGATTTATTGGATTTTTTTTTCATACTGCAGGATTTGAATAAAGGGCAAGTTTTATTTCAATTTGGGGCACTGTAATTTCATTTTTCTTCATGGGGAGAATCATTTCTAAATGCTTGAAGCCTTACATACTCTTAGAGATTGGTGCATAAATATTCAGTAAGAGAACAAGGGTGTCATTTTTTCACATCCATGTCACAGGTCAAGATTACATTTGGTAAAGGATCGATTTGTCATCATTTGGTGTGCATTCAGTGGGTTCAATTCATAGAATCTAATTGTGCACATGACAGACATGCATGGTGTTCACATTTTCTGATATTTGTGAAATTGCTGCAACTTTCACTTTCTCTGATAGGTTTGTCTTGTTTAAATTCAGCCAATTCTCAGCCAAGTATGAGTTTTGAGAGGTGGAATGGAAACTGAAAGATCTGAGAGGAGAAAGTAAAACAGTTTTCTCTCAGACAGAAATAGCTTTTGAACATGAATGCTTCTAAAAAATTTATTTGTTCATAAAAAGGTACTATTGCACATTGCATTTTCTACCAGATGTCACAGGACTATAAATTGTACTAAAATATATTCATCAACCAATGAAAGGACCCTTTAGAATATAGATTTCATAGTTTAGCCAATAGCAAGAGTTGTAGGAGAGTGAGGTAGACTTTGATTGGCTGTAACGTTCTCGGTATCCTGTGTGTTTACAGGATAATACAGACTCTTGAGTTGGAGCGTTTGGGGCTGTAATGGGGTTCCGTCTGTGCCAGGGGATCTTCATGACTTGGGCTACTTTTTGTGAGATTCGTTGCTGCCACAAACGCATCAGTGGAACTCTCTGAGATAAGCCCCTGCCGCTCGTGAGCTTGTTGGCTCTGCAGTCGCTCAATCTTGCCCAGTCTCGCCTCCAAGGTGTCCATCTGCAATCGCAAGGCATTCTCTCTCTCCTGGTGCTCCTGGCTAAATTTCTGGAGAATTCAGAGAAAAAAATGAGATAATTGTACAGTCTCTGCAAAAACTATCCTGCCCCATGGATATAACAATGAAGACTCAAGAGTCCATCGATAAATACTGTGCACACTGGTTTCAAGAAAAACGTTGCTGATTTGTACACAAACTTGCACTGATCAACTTCCAAGTACTGGCAACTACATGATTGGTTGAAATGCTACACTGTTATACAGACAGAGGGCTTAAAATGAAATGGAATAACACTAAAGGGCGATAATGGAATCCATGGAATTGCCAATACAAATAATGCCTTTGAGCATAGGTTTACGACAGCAAATCTACTTGCAAAACCATATTTGGAGTGACTTCAAGAAATAGAGTTCATGTATGCGCTCTGGGTTGAAGTGCATCTTCACCGGCAAAGACAAGACGGGCCAGTGGGAAGCTTTTCAACTGGTCTCAATGCATCTCGCGCACACACGGAACTGTTGTACATTCAAACAGAAATGGGTCATGCGTGCTCAGTCTGTCCCGTGTCAAGCGCAAGTAAACCAGTGCATGCATGCAGTGAGCTCCCATCAACGCACCACTGTTACTCTGACAAAATACGCCCCCTTCTATTCCCGCCCAGAGTGGATACAGCAGGGAGTGATGTTTGCCCTTTATAAATGTATTTTCTATGAAGCCAGCACAAATTTAGTATATAGAACGTGAACTGACGATAAATCAGATATTCCCTTTTACCATGTGGCACCATTCTTGGATTTCCTTGGGCCGTAGAGGCCCCTGCACGCCCCCGTCCCGTCGGATAAACACCTCCCCCTCGGGCGTCTCATACAAAATGTTGGACCGCCCCGACCTAACGACAATCTCCACAACCTTGACGTCAGGATCTGCCTCTGTTGGCGGCATGTCAAAAGAAAGTTATACATTGTGTGGTCCAAGGGCTGGTTCATACTTATTGCGTTTGTACCCACGCAGCGCGTAATGTGAATGCCGCATTTGACGTTCACACATTCGTCTTTTCTCAAGTCACGGCTGCGTGTGCATGTCCGACAAATGTTTAAAAATTTCAATTTGTCCGAATGCACATACATTTGGTGCATACGCACTATCCACTATTTCCAAAACTGCAAACTAGGGAGTGCATTTTCATGACGCATTGCGCTTTCCTTCAAGCACTGCAGACACCTCAAAATAGACCTTTGCGCTGCGTACACAGCGAGTACGCAGAGAGTATGAACCGGCCTTAAGTCTGAAACAACGTTGTGGAGGACATACAGACATTATGCATTGTGGGTAGTTTTGTCAGTGTACACGCATTCTGCATGCACTTGCATGTGCACACAGAAGTGTTGACTTGTATTACTGTCAAATGAGGACTTGTGGAGATTACACCAAATTACGCCTCAAACAAATTTGACCATAGTGCTGGGGATATAACTGTGAATCAAAATGGTGGCAATAAACCCAATACTAAATGTCTGAGAAATTGCTGTGTAAAAGTCATGTCATGGCTCCTTTAAGAAAACGTTTGGACCGTCTGGTATTAGAGAGGTGCGCAAAATTTAACAAGGGGTAACTTGAGGTGTTCCCACCACGTATTCAACAAAATCTTGTTTAACCTTGCAAAAACTTGAGTAAACTCTTATTCAATTTTGCATTTTCCTCGACCAGAATCATCTCTTAAAAAACAAGTTTCCTCATTAGCATTGTCAGGATAGTTCAAGTCCAGGAGAGGATCTTGAAGCAATTTGGCGATTTTCATCCCTTTTCTCTTCTTTTATCATTTCACTTTTTTTTCCTTTCGCAATGCCCATGGGTGCCCTTTATTTCAACCTTGAAAAGATTCTGCATTTTAAGACCTCCCCATGCCAAGACTCTGATCTCGTTCACCTGTGCTGTGTGGATCCTTTACAGGAATGAAGTCCAGACGATACATCTGGGGTAGAACCGGTGGATCAAAATGACCAATTAGCTGGTCAATCATGAGCCGGACTTGGTCCTCTGTTTGGTGATCGCAGAAGACGCCTTGGACAAATCCTTTTGAAAGTAGAAAACATTCTGAAAAGATCACGATATGATCTAAAAGATGCACATACCAGCAGGTCCTTACGGGAAAAGAGTTTTGTTCTTTTTGTTTGGCCAACGATTTTAAAATCATTTAAAATTTCTTTTTTAGATCCACATCACTACCTGCCCTGGCTTTCATGCCTGCCCTGATGTTTTACATGTCATAACTTTTATGTGTGTTATGTTTTTGTCAAAAAAGTATTTTCAAGACAAATTTCTCACCAACTCATTGAACTCAACAGGTAGAGTTTGGGTGGACTTCAAAACATTCTATGTAAATAGCTAAAACAAATCTGACGTGTGATGCACGTCCATACACAGTGTAGCTGTTGTGGCTTCTGACTTGTAATGATGTCTCCTGTCTTTGCATCATGAATTGTGCGACATACTGTTGTAAACAGTAACTTTCATGCATGTTGCAACCTTGTATTCCAGACCTCCATTCACCTTAGATGTGAAAAAGTCAAATTTATAAAATACCAAAAATATAAATTCCCATCCCAACTATTTTTGTTTGAGTCTAAGGCCCTTTTCCAATACCCCAATTCGGCTCCGTCTCGCGTTAAGCGTTTCAGCTGTTGTTTTTATTACCTGACTTTGAAGTTGTAAGCGCAACAGTAAGTCTGATAGTGCCACAAACATCAAGTAAGATGCAAAAGAGCCAATTTCAGCCAAACAGTACAGAACTTCAATTTAATTTCAACGCTTCAGGCTTACGATCGGGTATTGGTTTTGAAGACGAAGCCTGAGATGGAGATGAAGTCGAGTATTGCCAAATGACCCAGGTGATTTAAATCTTAAAATTAATTTCTGATGGCCTGAGCTCTTCTGAAATAATCTAAAATGCTTGAAGCTTCAAAAAACAAATATGCGAGGAAACTAAAAAAAAAGACTTACAAGGAAATGGTGTCATCATAAATGATTCTGCCTCATTTTTGTGCTTTCAAAGTAGGGTTTTTGGTTGGCAAAAATACGGAACGGAAGAGCACATGAAGGAAAGGTGTTATCCCAAATCCATGTGAAATACAGCAAGTACCAGCAATATTTTGAATTGAAGTGATCTTCACGACAGACTCCAGTGCCGAGGCATGCTCTTTCTTCCAAAAAAAAATCACCCACTGTCTAAATATCAGGTCCAACCCACTGGCTGCATTCACATGTACATGTACCTCCGTCATCAACCCCTATCATTAGGGTCCCTCCTTCGCTGTTCAGAAATGCACAGATGTATTTGGTCAGATGTTTGCGCAAGTATTTCTTGAAGTCCCCGCCTCCCCTCTTGAACTCCAGCGACCGCGTCTCGTTCCCTAATTGTTGGTTCTTGAGAAAGTGCATCCTGGGCTCTCCAGTGTATACCAAAGGCAGGTTGGGAGCTGTTGGGTAAAAAGTCGCTCTCCCTGCGTCTTGCTTCTCAGCCGCACTGTTATCAATCCTCGTCAGAGGGTCCTTGGGTGGGATGGGTGACTGAATCGCAGTCCCTGATTTCTGTGTCTCGGCGGAGCTGTTATTGATTGCCATTGGAGGGTCATCCCCTGAGGGTAGTGAGTACAAGGTGTGGTTGAGAAGGCGGGGCCGGTAGTAGTCCGCCCTCAGCACCCGGCCGCGCTTCACCAGTCCATTGGGGGCACTGTTGCTCAGTCGGGCCGCCTCCACAACCCGGCACTGGAGGTCACTGTCATGCAGGTCCACGCGGGCTGTGTGGCAGCCATGGAGGTCCGAGTGCCTCAGAGAGACGTCGCGCTTGGACACGAGGATCCCTGTAGTCTGGAAGATGAAGGAGATGATCAGGGCCACAAGGCCAGACTGCGGAGCTCTGTCCTCAAGGTTGCTGAAGAAGACACAAAACTCTGGTTCCTGCTCCATATGCGAAAACTGCTACATCACTGCCATAAATTCGTCTCTATCCAAGCAACAATGAATACCCTCACATTTTCACACTGAACCAGTTCATAGAAGCCCTACAAGGCCCATCTCAATAGCTCGCTTTTCCCTCCAACTTATCTGCAAACATATAACAAAGTAAGCTCCATGTTAATTTTTAAACATAAAGTGCCATGGTGTTGTATATGCTGGGTGTGATCAATCGAGTCTGCATGATCGCCCAATCACTCTGTGCCATTTTTGTGAATCCATAGGCCTACATTAAATCTCCAACTTTGCTTCCCTTTTTTGAAATAGCCTTCCACATCCATCAATTGGAAGGGTGATTGGCTGATGGCAAAATATCAACAAACTGTGCACTAAGTTCAAATAATCACGCAAAGATAGATCAATAGTCATGTGTAGATTGGCAAACCGAACCCAGCAGTCCATATGACCAGCTGTTGAGATGAACTTGTAAAATACAGATTGGTGATGTAACCCAAACTTTTGAACTTTTTCCATGCTGTCACTAAAGGAACAACAAATTAACTTGTCTCCCATTTCTTTTCTTTTTTTACTTAGCGGTTAAAGTCGGGAGGTTACAAAGCCAACTTCATTGACTTTAGTTGGTCGGGTACGTATTCGCTTTTGATCATATATTTCACCATGTGTTCACTTCATCCATGTCATCAATACAATGCCATAATAAAAATGACTGTTTTCAGGATATCCCACCCAAACTTCCCTCCATAAAGTACTCCTCTCTCATAAGCGATTGTGAAACTTGCTGAACCCATCAATGCCATAACAATTATAAACACATCAGGCCTAAACTGATGGATTTGTTTGCACTAACCCGGTACGGTACCAACAGCCTTCTCAAACTTAGTTTGCCAGTTGTTTACAAATTAAACTATTTACATATAACCTAAGATGACCTCCAAAATAACTGTAATGTTGTATCGAAACGTTATCCTCTATAAAATAAAAAATTAAAATTTTTTAATCAAATAAAGTTTAAAAATATATATATATTTTTGATTCGGCTTTAGATGTAACAAATTTACTTTTTGAAATTAAATTATATTAATAGTCTCTAAAATCGTTTCTTTAGGTATGACGTCATCCACCTCCATATGTACTGTGTGTAGTCTATCGAGCCAGCTCGAATGAAGAGCTGCTGTTGCTGATGGAAGGATGTAATGTAGGCCTCTGTAAAAAATGGGCAGCAAAAAAGAGCTTCTATTTCGCTTTGGAGACCCTCGAAGGAGTAAGGTGTGCCAGTGTACAGGTGAGTAATTTATGAGAAATCCAAGAAGTGTTGCTTGTTTATTACTTTGACGCTGTGAGATGAGGAAATTGATCGTGTCTTGTAAAGTTGTAGTTGTACATGTAAGTTGTGGCCGAATCATTTTTGAAAGTTCGATGACCCCTTCAATCTCCAAAACAGCAGGCCTATCCGTTAAGATGTGTCACGTACTGAATGCGTGATCAACAGAAACGTTGACAGATTTATGACTGCATTAAAAAGTGCGTTATGATAGGTGATATTAATGTCAGAACAATGCACATGATGAGCCAGTGTCTGTTTGGTTTTCAAAAGCCAAGCATGCCAAGATCTTATGGGAACAAACTGACAAAGTATGCGCGAGTCATTCGAGTCAGTGTAATTGTTACGCCGCAATAGTTTTACCACAGTGAATACGTTATGCGCACAATTAGTGTGTAAAAGGCATAAGCGCGAGAACCAGCGCGTGAACCAACACCCGCGTACTCCATTTGTTTGCACTGCACTTTCTGGTTCACAGTGATGTCAAACTTTGGTACTCTATTTCTATAGCATCAGTCCCAACTATAGTTGGGACCGTCCCAACTAGAGATGTACATGTACATTTGGGCAGGCCCAACTATAGCACGGAGGTCCAGTGTATATATGCCCAGCATGTGCCAGATTCACATTGTTGACAATGTCATGTAGATGAAGTACCGTAGTTTAGATGAATTATGTCACGTGCGAGATGCATAAACTTGGATAAGGTTGAGAAATTTTCTATAGGAATTGGTCAACAATAGTTGGGCCAGCTCATCTGCAGCACTACAATTGGGACGCTATAGTTGTGGCTTAACATAATCATCAGATCATGGATGTGCTAATGGGACAGACTATAACGAGCGTGTGTAGCTGTTCCCGAATAGCCTCGTAATGAGCATGCACTGTCATGGCTGTTGGAATACTAAACTGGCTGATTATTTTGGAGTAATTGCAGAATATCCCACCACGCGAAAATACCCCCCTAAAATCCAATGGCTACCGAGGTGGAAGTCCAATGTGGGTCCCGGGGAGCGGCTACGTGGACACAGGGATATGAAGCGGGCCTTGTGCGTCATGCAATGCAAAGTGAATTGGGAAGGCGAAAGAATTTTCGAAGTCCAAAATGGTTCCCGGGGAGCGGCTACGCGGATATGGGGATTACGAAGTGGGCCTTGTGGAAGTTTGATTCCGTATCCGGAGGTGGGCACGGTGTGTGGCCGGGTATTCTGCAATTGTGCCATTATTTCATTATGTTTAACATCGCCTTCATATCGGATATGTTAGTATTTGAAATTTTGCAAACGTTTCTTTCAAGGGGCAGTGCTAATTTTGTTTCGACCAAACATTGTAAAATTATTTTTTTGTGTTTTGGGGAAAATATCACCTCATAACAAGCGCATTAAACCTTGGCTATGGTACATGTCTTATGGCAGATTGAGGGAATAATTGATACATGTACCATGCCACTCAATTAAAAATGTACCCCTGATAGAAAAAGTCTTATCCAAGTTATAAATTCTAAATGAATGGGATTTGTCAGAGAACAAAACAACACAAAATGAATGGGGATTGTTGAAAATAGTCCAAGTCCAAACCACGTACATGTACATGTATCACGTTTGTGGCTACAAAGTTGCTTGGCTTCGAGAGGGTAATGCCCATGTATGCCCATGCCCATGAGAATGAAACAACGCAAAATGAATAGGGATGATTGACAACGTCAAAGTCCCAACGAGAACAGGTCATCTCATTTGTGTGCCAACTCATGCATGTACACTGACCAACTCGTATGTGGTTTGGTCAACTTGTACTCTGACCAACTTGTACATTGCCTAGCTTTTATGTTGACTGTCGGTTTTTAGTCTGAAGTTGAATGACTGGAAAACTGCTTTTTTGACTAAATTGTCTGATGTATAGAAACTGCTCTTTTACAGAACTACAAAGTGAAAGAGCCAGTCTGTTTTCAAAAACTAGCATCAAGATTTAAAATTCAAATTCACAAATACAGAAGTCAAGAAATGTAAATACAAAGCAGAGCCACGTATGTTACTGTGGTGACCTGTCAGGGCTGAGTCAGTTTGAATAATTCTCTAGATTCAAATATTCGACCTAATTCGATCGAATATCTGAATATTTGGTCTTGCTGACCAGCAGATTGTTGATGTTTAAACCATATACAAAATCAGTTGCTATAACACACACAATTGAACGTCACTATAATAGCTTCTCACATCTACATGTAGGAGTATCTCCAGCCACGATTTAGCAAGATTTAAGAGACGGACAATACTTCTTGCCCCGATGAAAATTTCTATTCCTTTTAAATTTTTGAATAATTTACTTTTTGAATCGTATGATTTCTGTCTTTTTTCATTTGCATGTGCTTGAAACAAGCCTCCACGGTGTAATTTTTCTCATTTAAAACAAAAGAAAATTCCTTTCCTTTTCATGAATTTTGCATTTGAATATTCAAATTTGGAAAATAATTTTTAAATATTCAATAATCAGTCAAATATTTGGCACAGCCCTACTTGTCATTGATAAGTTAAAGTTGATTCATTAAAAAGCATTGATATACCGTACGCAGCAGCACACATTATTCTCTACATGACTGGATGGGTGTCAAGTTTGGGGGAAAATCCAACATGTTCATACATGGGGCAAAGGCTTGACTCCGGCACACATGCTTACACGTGTTGTACATGTACTTGGTGTACCAGTTGGTCGGCATATGATTAGGTCTAGGTACGAATTGGTCATAGCATGTTAAGTGAAGACAATCAAGTGTGACATTTTGACCTCGTAGCTGGCGATAAGGTGGATCGTGTGGGTGGTGGGGTATTCTGCAATTATGCTGGACCAACAGCATCCTTCCATGGCCTAATGCAGAGTGCTACTGTATTTGTGTACATTTAATGTTTGGTGCAATCACTCCATCACACTGTGCATGATAAGCACAAGTGGTCAATCAGTACGATCATGTTGTGGCATTGCACAGTTGATCCTCTATAAAATCTCTGACTTAGCTTTTTCAAAACAGTCTTCTATAACCACCAATTACTGGTACATAAGAAAGCCAATTGGCTGATGCCAGAGTTGTTGGTAAATCTTGAATTAATTCAACACACATACAGTTGTACATGTGTAGTGCTAAGATCAAGCAATTGTATTGACTGATCATGCCCAGCATGCATTCTGTTGATGCAGTACGTCCCTTGTTTGTAACTCTTCCACCATGTCCACAGCCACAAATCAGAAAGGTGGGTGGCTTGTTGCGGTGGAATTGACAGAATTTCAACAGGATCGACCAATAGTACAGCAGGATCGCATAGATCCTCCAACTTATTGCAGTGAAATCGACAGAATTTAAACAGGATTGATCAATAGTACAGCAGGATCGCATACATGTAGATCCTCTGATTTTGTTTGACATTAACATACATGTATGCCCAATGTGTCGCAAAGACATTCTTTGGTGATCATTTGATCAGTTGTTCCAGTGAAAGGATTAGACAGTGGAGGTCCTCAAGTGAAGGCCCGTTAGAGCCACATGTATTGTTGTGGAGGTTGAAAAGCTTTTGAAAAACAGAAACACCTGAATAATGCAGTGACACATTGCATGTAGACATACATGTAGATTCAGAAAATAAGATGAAAATCACTCTGGTCATTTCAGTCAATATGCTTGTATTAAACTTTTCAAAGGTTAACATGTGACAGCTGCCTACCAAAAATGGTATCATGATTTTACAACTTGAGAGGAAAAAAATCGTTCCAGATGCTGGGTTTTATTTTATACCCCGTATATACATATGTATCCTTCCCCCTCCCAGCCAAAGTTATACTGTATGTACGTTACCTGTCATCTCTCTGGAAAATATTTAAAACAGACACCCCTTGGTGTTAACCAGTGTTGTAGGTCTCAAGACCTTTTTTTGCGGTCTCGCTCGTGCCCTGTCAAAGTCTCGGTCTTGGGAGGGCCGGTCTCGGTCTTGAAAGCGCCGGTCTCGGTCTTGGATGCTATAGTCTCGGGTCTCCTCCTCGAAACCATAACAAAGTGCGCATCTAGCTACCAGGCATGCGCATGGTTACAAAAGGCAAAAGTACCTCCGCTTGAGTCAAATCTTCAACCACTAATATAAATACAACACAGTAATGTTCAAATATTTTGCCATTAACAATTAGATCGATGCTGAAATGAAGAGTAGTCAATGCAGCATGATGCAACCTCGTCCCAAGTTGTTACTTTATTTCCAATCCAGAGTAGCCATGCTGCTTGACACCATGGAGATGAGGTTGTGAGTAGCGGAATTCGCACACTAGACTGGTTCCAGTTCCCTAAGTACATGCAGTCTCCTGCTGAACATAGGGCCGGGACAGGAACCAGTCTATGCGTGTGTGCACGCTATGAATTGTGTGTTCCAGCAATTCTGTTTAAGTGTTGAAATGTGTGCACATGTGAAAGTGCTTTCATTCCGTCTTGTATGTGGTACATCTTTTTGTTTTTCAGTATTTTGCTTACAAAAAAACAGTCTAAGGATTTTTGTTTTAATGTTCACATCATATCATTTGGGACACTCGGGTTGAAAATGACCAGACCAGGGTAAAAGTAGAGCAGTATCACTGATAAACGAACTGAGACATTCTTTAACAAATATTTGACCTGTTTGTGTGTGTGAGTTTATGCTAATGTTTTCATTTTATTTCTTTTCTACTTAATTGTACTGCCATATGTTTGTCCCTATTTACCTTTTGGTAAAAACTAAACATTGGTTTATGGTTGGTCTCGGTCTCAGATGTCGTGGTCTCGGTCTCAGTCTCGACCTGCAAAAGTCTTGATCTCAAAGTCTTGGTCTTGAAGGAGTACATGTAGGTCTCGGTCTTGGTCTCGGTCTTTTATGCCTTGGTCTCGGTCTTGTCTCAGATATCAAGGTCTCGGATAAAACACCGGTGTTAACTGGGGTCATGTGTGTGTACGT